TGTCACTTTAACTGCAAAGCTTGTAATTTTGGGTGCGGCTGTAAATCGCCATAAGAGGGAGCAAGAGAACTTGATTGATTGCTGGTTTACTGAATTGCTTGCTGACGATGATGGATTGTTAACTGCGTGTTTCTCTTGCTGTTGCTGAAGGAAGAAAGGAGGTTTTACTTCTTATCTCTACTGCGAAGAGATAAATTACTGGACTGATATTAGTAAGTTTAATGACCTCTTTTTCGACACTGGACTTTGCAACTGATTAATCCCTGGACGGACTGAACTTAGTGTATGATATATGGACTGTTTGACTATGCATATAAATCTTACTGGAATAAACTATTTAACTAGCACATTGTGTCTGTTTTACTGAGTGTAAACTACAACAACGTTTATCTCACATATTTGCCTGTCTGCCTTGCAGGTTCTGCTAGGGTGTATATCCCTAACAAGGACAACCGTCCTGAGACTCCAGATGCGAGAAATACCTGCAGAGGAGCTTTCCCATAACATCATACTGGATGTTGACAGGACTCTCAGTGCTGGATCCTTCAGGGAAGGACTTGGGGTGACTTTCAATGCTTAACTTTCGCAGGCTTTGCCTTGTTTTTGCTGCTATCAATTCAAACTTAGTAAAAGGACCTCTTATCTAAGTCAATGGAGTTGGGGGTTTTCTTTCTTAGGTTTTGAATGGAGGCAGGACTGACATTTAACTATCTTAACTGCTAGTAAGAAAACTCAGAAGAAACATTTAGCTAAATTCCTGGGTAACACAATTCCTCTCCCCTTTGAGATTAAATAGCCTCAAGACCTTGCTTGAGCTTTTTGGTTTTAGTCTTTTCAGGGAAAGAAATAGAAGATTACATTCAAATGGTCCACTTCTTTCAGATGGTCTAGGCTTTTTCAAACTGACTTCTGGTTGATGGCTTTAAAATAATATTGTGTTTTCTTTCACTAGTACAAAGTAGAAGGTATTATCTTTTCTTCAGTTTGGTCCATCTGCCCAGTTGAAGGGGGGGGGGGAGATTGTGGCAGTAATTACCTGTGAAAACAATGTATGAACCTCAGGCAGAGTTGAGTGGGTAGGACTAAGGATTTGGGGGGAGGGATTTTTCTTACTCACTGCCAGGCATTTGTGGGATAAAAGACATGTTCAGGCCAAATATAAAAACAAGAAGCCAGGAAAGAGCGAATTACAAAACCCTGATAGGTAATCAAAGATAACCCATGCACTATATCTTTCTCAGTTGTGAGATACTGAAGTGACATTCTCTTCCCTGCAGACTTTAAAGAGTTACTGATTGCTGAAATAACATGCATGAAGAACTTTTAACAATGTAAAGAAACATAGCCTTTTCTAAGTTTTAAGGCTTAACATTCAAACAACAGTAAAATTCAATTTCACTTATAACTTTGTGTTTATATTGGAAATATGAAATGTACTCTATTAAACAGAATGAAGCTAAAACTATACATTGAAAAAATGCAGACTAATCTCTAATAGAAACAAACATGTTTATGCACATAATCAAATGCAACCAATCAATGTTTGTCAAGTAGTTATTACTAAGAAGTCAATAAATGTAAGTTTAGAAATATTGTAAGCTAGTGCAGTGATCAAAAAATGTTTCCCCCACCCATTTGCTAAAGTTGTTATTGTTCACCACACATATCACAAACTAATGTTATAAAATGTCAGGGCTAAAATTCTAAGACTGAATACTCTGCATGAATGAAAACCTGCTAGAAATGTATTTATACTCCATTCAGATTATTCCATTCAGATTATTTTTGTTCTGCTCATTTTGAAGAAATATAGATGGGATAGTACATATCTTGACTTAAATCTTTTCATTGTGTTATATTTATTTCTAAACTGACAATTATTTATCCTGCTTCAAAATAGATCTACATTGCTTATGTTCTTTAAAACTGCCACCAGTAGCAAAACAGATGGTATAAAAACATTCTACCTTGAAACCGACAAGTGAAAAAGGCTCTTAACTCTCCATCTTTTTACATTTTAATAGTTGTATCATAGCCCTCCGAATGAGATTAGGCCAATTAGGATAACCTCAGTCATTTCTTAGGACCTCAACCTACTACTTTCATCTGTGAATAAACAACTGTGTTAACAACTACCACATAGCAAAAGGGTTGATAATGCAAATTCCCTACAGTTGTACACATACAACTGAGAGATCTGGGGCCAGTGAATTCTCTGCTTTCCACCCGAGTTTCCCAAACCCAGATTTCTACCGTTCCTTTCTATCAAATCCATTTTTCCTAGATTTGTTTTGAGAGGAAAAGTGAAACTGGGATATTCAGCACACGTTTGCGGGTGTGGGATTCCCAGGAACCAAAGGAGACAGCCAACGCGATATACCTCTCCATCCTTCTAGCGGTCCGTCCCTTCTGTGACAGAAACACGCGTGGAATCGTTTGACATCCAAGCACAGTAAGCGCTAATAGAGCCCTCTCCAAGAACTGCCTCCTGTGCAGAATATTGGAACGAGCACTGAAGAGAAAGAGCCTCGACAAGGGTTGCCCCCGTGGACCGAGCCTCGGCTCTCCGGTCAACCCCACAAGGGGGTCTAAGCGGTGACACCCGACATAGGAGCCCCTTCCCCCGAGCAAAAAAAAAAAAAAATCCGCCTTTCCCAAGGCAAAGGTTCCCGCCCCTCGCCGATGACCCTGGGCGGGGGATGCACGGAACGACCCTGCCGCAGAGCCGCCCCCGGCCGCACGCCTCACTGTCGGCTCACTCACAGGTAACGATGGGCTTGTTCTCCATCGTGTAGATAACCGGCGGCGTCTCCACCGATGTCCTGCCTTCTCCCGGCGCCGCGATGACTGCTGCTGCCGCCACCGGCGCGAGTTCCATGGGTGGGCAGGGCGTTCAGCCCCGGCTCCTTCTGCTCCGAGCCATAAAGCCGGCCCGCCGCGCCTCCCCCGCGCCCGCCCTCCTGCCGCCTCCGGCGAAGGGACCCTCCTGAAAGCCTCCCCTCCAACCCGAGCCGGCCCCCCTCGCGCGCGGTCGTCTCTCGGCACGAAGAGCGTTCCAGCTTCATCCGCTTCCTGTATCACCGACCAGCATTACCCCTTCCGGCAAAGGGAGAAGCGGATGTTAAAGGGGAGGCTGGAATCTGCCGTGGCCTCCGATGACATTTTTTTTTCTAAAAGGGGAGTGTGCAGTGGAAAGGAAGGGCAGGGAGAAGAGCAGGTAAGGGGGTGGCGGATGCCTGGCATTCCGTAGAAAGGTTTGTTTGCAAGTGGGCGAGCGGAGCAGGGCCATAGACATTTTCTTTTTCTGAAAAAGGAATCTTAGCTTGCATTATTTATTTCTACATCCTGATTACCTGTCTTGTTTTTCTCTCCCGAGGAGTTGATGTAGGCACCTTCTTGATTTGATCCTGGCAAATAGGGGCGTAAGATGCACGCCGGAAGAGTATTGCTGCGCTTGTTAAGTAGAACTAAATACATTTTACAAATAGGTCGCATTTTGCAGCCGTGAATATATTCATTTGCAGCAGTTCTGTAGAGTCTGATGTATCGTTCTAGACAATATACAGGTAGGCCTTGCTTACCAACTGCCTCGTGCAGTGACCCTTCACAGTTACCAAGCCCCTAAAACAAATAGCCGCTCTAAAGGCACACATTTACAATGGTCTTGGCATCCTTCAGAGGTATGGTCACTGTAAATTTCACAACGAGCATGCATTTTCGCTTGTGATGAGCAGAGTTAATACTGTATTAGTAAGTACAGGTAGTCTTCAACTTACAATCACATAAATTTGAGCCCCAAATTTATGTTGCTAAGTGAGACAGTTGTTAAGTGAATTTTGTCCCATTTTTGGGACCTTTCTTGCCACAGTTGTTAAGTGAAACACTGCTTAAGTTAGTGACATGGTTGTTATGTGAATCTGGATTCCCCATTGACTTTGCTTGTAACAAAAGGTTATCATGTGACCCCCGAGATAATGCAACTAACTTAAATATGAGTCAGTTGCTAAGCTTCTGAATTTTGATCATATGACCATGGGGATGCCACAACAGTTGTGTGAAAAACCGTAATAAGTCACTTCGTTCAGTGCTGCCATAACTTTGAAAGATGACTAAATGAACTGTTTTAAGCCGAGGCCTACCTGTACTGTAGTTCTTCTAAATAAAAGAGAAGTATTTTGAAGGTAAGAAATAAAACATTCTAACCTTTGATCTAGCTTGTTTTTTTAAAAAAGCCCATAAGGCTGAATGCTCTTATACATTGTTATTCTCACATAATGATCACCCTTCTGACCAGCAACAGTCACTAAGTGGACAATCAGGTGCTTGAGCTTCTCTTATTTCCTCTTCAGTTGTTAATTAAAGCAACATGGTAACTAAATAGAAAATCATAATGTGAAACTTACTCCATTATAACTTTGAAAGGTTGCTACGTGAGGTAGTTGGTAAGCATGGGCTACTTTTACTCAGTATTCAGTGATGGCTGCCTATGTGTTTGTATATGTTCAGGTAGCTTTCTACATATATAGTGCAGGCAAGATATCCAATTTTTTAGCTCTATGAAGGCAACATCTATTGAAGTAATAAAGTTTTTCATAATTGATTATTGCAGTAAAGTTTTAAAAAATCCTGTTTTCTTCAAAGTTGAATTCAGAAAAAATAACTTGAGCAGACTCCCCCCCCCCTCTTTTCCTTTTCTTCTCCTTGCCTCATCTCAACCTAGTTTTCTTCCCTTTCCAATGTAACTATCCTTGTTCTAACTCTGCTGGAAGGGGACTACATAGAGGCAGTTCTCTTCACGCTTATGACTGGGTGCCAAGTGCTTTGTGTTAACATGATTGCCACTTGCAATCTTCCCTGCCGGTCTCTGCAGAAGCTGGTGGGAAAAATTGCAAATTGCTGCCACCTCCCTACATGACTCCCTCTTGTCTCTGGGGGCTGAATGAAAAAGATCCCTGCCATTTCATGCCTGCTTGGATCTTGTCAGCTGAAATCCAAGCGTGCGTGGAGCCCAAAATCCCTGTCTGCCCGCCTTCATGGAGAGCCCCAGAGAGGCAAGGAGAGAAGGTCACCCAGCTCCATGTCTGCTTGAACCTCTGCAACTGAATTGAAGCATGCATGGAGCCCAAAATCCCTCCACAGCCAGTGAGAAAAACTCATTATTTTCCTAAGGATTATGAGATCATTTAAATGTCCACAACGGGGATACTGGGATTGCAGTCATTAAGTGTAACAGTCATTTGGTTGTTGCTTAATTACCACTTTGCTCAGTGACCAAGACTCTGATCTCTATCGTGGTCATTAAGCAAGGACTACTCTGAGTGTATACTCTTGTCTCCATATGTGACAGTGATCTGTGTGTGTGAGAGAGAAAAATGACCGGATTATGCAGATGACAGAGAGCAACCTGAGAATAAAATACTTGTGAAGCAATATTGCTATAGGAGTCTATCTATTCTCTAAACTCCTGAACTTTGCAAACAATTTTTAAGACTTCCTATGAACCCTTGGCTTTTCTTTACAAATGGATTATGTGCAGTCAACATTCACAGTTCAACCTTGCCAATTATCAAGAATCAGGTTCAATATTTCAGGTACTATACAGTAAGAAAAAGGTGGAGCTGGGTAGGGATTCAGTTAAGGACAAAATGAGTGTACAAACAAACACACGAAAGAGTAAATGAATTTAGAATACATTTCTGGTAGCAGTGACCATTCAGGGGAAATAATTTTTTTAGAAAACAAGAAAAATACATTTTTGCACTACAGTACTGCCACCCCCTCCCACCCCCATCCTAATACTGAAGATAAATCCTTCTCAACATTCTATCTCTATCTATCTACAGTACTTTGCAACTGGCTCTTGTTTTGGCTGGAAATGTCTTCAAAAGGAAAGAGAAAGAGCTCCACTTCAATTAAGGAAGGAAGGAAGAAGCAAAGGAAAACCATCAATCTTGATTTGAAAATGAAGATCATCAAAGCGCACGACGAGGGGAAGAAGGTGAACATTATAGCACAAGAAGAAGGGCTGGCCCATTCCACCATCTCCACTATTCTGAAGGATAAGGAAAGGATCAAAAAAGCGATTAAAGGAGCATCAGGAACAGATGCCATTATAACAAGACATCGAACAGGCCTCATCCACGAAACAGAAAAACTACTACTACTTTGGATTGAAGATCAAATCCAAAAGAGGATTCCGATTAGCCTTTCTCTCATTCAGGCAAAGGCACGCAGCATTTTCACAACACTGAAAGAAAGAGCAGGTCAGGAGTGCACCGAAGTCTTCACTGCCAGCCGTGGCTGGTTTATGCGGTTTCAGCGAAGATTTAATTACCACAGCACACGCAAGTCACGTAAAGGTACAAGTGTTGATGAAGCTGCCAAACGTTTTCTGGATGAACTAGATGATATTATTGCAAAGGAGAGCTATTTGCCTGAACAGATATTCAATGTGGAGGAAACCTGGTTATTCTGGAAAAAAATGCCAGAGCAGACCTATATCCACAAAGAGGCCAAAGCAATGCCTGGATATAAAACATTTAAGGAGAGAGTAATCTTGCTATTGGGTGGAAATGTCTCCGGATTCAAGCTGAAGCCATTTCTGGTCCACAAATCGGGGAACCATCGCGCATTCAAAAACATATGCAAGCGCACACTGCCCATTTATTACCGATCCAACCAGAAGGCTTGGATGACACAAGTCCTCTTTGAGGATTGGTGTATGAATTGTTTTATACCTCAAGTAAAGGAATATTGCTTGCAAAAAAAGATTCCTTTTAAAATTCTCCTGCTCCTTGACAACAGACCTGGACATCCTCCACATCTTCATAATATCTATCCAGATGTAAAAGTGGTTTATCTACCCAAAAACACCACGCCTCTCTTACAGCCTATGGACCAGGGAGCTATCACAATATTTAAAGCATACTATTTACGTGCAATGTTTGCCAAAGCCGTCAATGCAATGGAGGAGGAGAAGAGGGTGACGTTGCGTGAGTTTTGGAAAAACTATAATATCCTCCATTGTATCAGAAACATTGAAGCAGCGTGGCAGGATGTCACTGTAAAATGCATGCAAGGGATTTGGAAAAAGTGTTTAAAATGTTACCCTGTTCTGGTAAATAATTTTCAAGGATTTGACCATAACAAAGATTTGGATGAAATAAATAAGGAAATTTTGACACTTGTGAAATCCCTTGATTTAGAAGTCAATGCTGAAGATGTGAAAAGTTTGATAACCTACACTGAGGGAGAACTTTCAAATGAGGATTTAATCGAACTGAAAGAAGAATTGGAAGCACGAAGGGTCAAGGAAGAAGAGGAGGAGGAGGAAGAAGAGGAGGAGGAGGAGGAGGAAGAAGAAGAAGAAGAGGAAGAGGAGGAGGAGGAGGAACCAGAAGAAGAACCAGAAGAGGAACCGGAGGAGGAACCAGAAGAGGAGGAGGAACCACAGGGGGAGAAACCAAAAGAGGAGGAAGAAGAAGAGGAGGAGGAACCAGAAGAACAACCAGAGGAGGAGAAGGAAAAAAATGTAGAAATTCAGCCCAAAAAGTTCAATGTGAAAGCATTAGCTGGTGTTTTCTTGGGCATTAACCAAAGTTTATCAAAATTACAAAGTATGGATCCAAATGTAGAACGTTTTGGAAAGGTGTATCATGATATGCATAAAATCTTAAAGTGTTATCATGAAATATATGAAGAAAAAAAGAAAAAAACTTGTGCAAACCAAAATTCGTGAGTTCTTTAAGAAAGTTACTCCTTCCATGGCTATAATTCCTTCCTCTTCCCCCTCCTCATTTAGAGGAATAGAAGATTGAGACAATCCTCAGCTAGCTATCCCAATATATCCAACTTTTCTAAAAACACAAGAAAATACTAATTTTGAATGACTGATAGTAATGCTTACTATACCGTAATCGTAAAGTCTGGTTTTTTTTACTAATTTCGTTAAAAATGTTCAGTTCTTGAAAGATAAAAGAAATTGACTTTGGAAGTTCAAAGTATAATACATTGCAGGCATATGATTATTCACTTAGTCACTGCTTTACTTCACTTAACTGAAGGGGAAGTACTGCATAATCATACCAGTCACAGTCACGTAATTTTCTACTTGGTGACCAAATTGACAGTCCTAATTTTCCTAATTGTAGTCACTAAAGGAGGACTAAAATTTTAAAATTTCAATTTTAAATAAAATAAACTATATAAAGGACTAAAATGCAAGTTTCTTGTTAAGATTTTATTTAAACTAAGAAAATGGCTTTATAAGTGAATGATAATTATTAAGATCCAAGAATTTAGGCAGAAGATTGAAGGATTTGGAGGCTTCTGTATAAAATGCACAACAGTTTTGTTTTTGCAGCAATGTCTTAAAATCATGTTAAATCCAAAATTAGTGGTTATCACTAATATCAGCTGCAAAGCATTTTCGCACTTGTGGCCCATGACTTGGAAAGGTGGCTAAATCTATTGAATGAGGACCTGTTTTTGCCACAATCTTTTCCTCCACATTTAAGGAAAGCAATTAGTATTTTTTCCACTCACTGATCATGCTTAATGAGCAGAAATGAAGTCAGAAGAACCCACCAATCATTTTCCTTTTATTCCTTACATTAAAATCAGAACAGCACCAATGTTACTCTTGTTCCTGTTGCAGTACCTGATAAAACCAACTGAATTTGTACTAGCTTGGTTTTCTTCTCTCTCAAGAAAGGGCAGACACACATTAACATGGTTGTGAGGAAAAAAAATATTTTGGAGTAAAACGCATAGGATTTCTTGTAACTGTCATATTGTTGTGTTGTCTTTTTTTTTTTTTTTAAGATTCTCAGATTTTAATGTGTTGTATACAGTCTTGGAAGAAGACGTAAAAAAATAAGCTGAAAAACTGTAGCCGAACTTTTCATTATGTTGCACTTATATTGTGCTCGACAAGGAGTGAACGTAACAAATATTAGAAAATCCTATAATATGACACATTAGTTGATGTCGTTAAATCATACAGAAATCCTTTCACAAAAGCTAAATTAGAAAATACTTATCATGCAAATACATGCAGCCATTTCTCCAGATGGAGCTGCTCCCAGTATTGCTATTTTTCCATTCTAGGAAGATCTAGAATAGTTTACTAAAATTTCATTATATACATATGTGGCCAAAAGTATTGATACCCTCTGCTTTTTTCTTAAGAGTCACCAGTTTCCATGAAATAAGTTGAAACTGATACAAGGAAATGGCATCTGCTATTCTGTAGTCCACTGTCCCAAAGGCAGATGCTTCGATTTTGATGTATGACTTAGCATATTCTTATAATAAAATGAAAATGGCATGGGCATACTTACTAGTACTCATTAGAAGTTCAAATGCATCATTGGATGTTAGTGGTCTGTTAAGAATCTTTAATTGGTATCATAAGTGTCTTCAATTTTATAATCAGCCTATTTGAATGGAGCAAAATCCTCAGGCACTTTGTATTGTATGCAGCACAGTGGCTATAGACAAAAAGGAAAGCAGAGTGTTGCCTGATGAGAAAAGGAAGATGGTAATAATCAAGCATACCGTGTTTCACCACAAACAAGGCCCAACCAGAAAATAAGCCCTAGTCTGGTTTTTAGCATGCTCCTAATATAAGCCCTACCCCCTCCCAAAATAAGCCCCAGTGAAGATCTTCATCAGCAGGGGTAGGGTGGGTGGGTTTGTCCAGCACAGAAGGTGTTGAACACAAGGGGGGAAGACGGTGTACGGCAGCAACCACATCCTGTGTAGTGCAGGTGAGTCCCAGCATTGTCATCTCTGGCTCGGCTCTCCTTGCAGTTTTATAAGCCAAGAGACAGTGGGGCAGATTGACATCCGATTTAATGGAGGTAGGTGATTCCAACATGAGGTGCCACAGGCAGCAGGCAGAGACACGGGGGGAGAGAGCAGACAATCCCAACGTGCTTCATGGCTGCCTGTGTTGTAGCTGTGAGCAAGCCAAGAGTTGATGGATTGACAATTTAATGGAGACAGGAGATTTGGACCTGCAATGGCACTGGCATCAGGCAAAGGTGTGGTGGAAGGCAGGTGACTCCGACGTGCATCAGAATAGCCTGCCTCCCCCTTCGTGCATCTACCTGCTGCTGGTGCTGCCATGTGTTGGAATTGCCTGCCTCCATTAAATTGGGTGTCAATCTCTCCTACCGTCTCTTGGTTTGCCTGCAGCTGCAACACAGAAAACTGCATAGTGTGTTGTGATCACTTGCCCTGCCTCTGCCTGCTGCCACTGCCACCATGCATTGGAATCCCCTGCCTCCATTAAATTGGGGGTCAATCTGTCCCACGATCTCGGCTTGCCCATGTTGCCTGTGTTTCCCCCAAAATAAGCCCTAATATGTCTTTTGAGGCCGCAAAAAATATAAGACCAGGTCTTATTTTTGGGGAAACGATAGTAAAAGGAAAAACTAGAAAACCATCAACCAATGAGTCTTATTTCCTGTGTCCATGGTGGCTAATAAGGTCGAGTTTAAGGTCCATGGACCTATAGCCAACTATTCTTGACATTGCCCCAAGAGGAAAATTGACCAACACTTAAAACAGAAGGGTGTTTCAAATGCTGGAGAAATAATCAACGAAGACTTCAAAACACATCCTGGCTGACTTCCAAAGTATAATAGTATCAGGTTGCACCATCCATTGCTTTTTGAGTGAAAATAACCTCTAAGGTAGAAAACTCAAGAAGACCCCACTTCTGAAACAGACAAAAAAGCCAGATGGAGTTTGCCATGGTATAATTATCAAAAATTGTTACTGAAATAGATATTCAGTGAGGGCAGAAAGGTTTGGCTAGTGACTTAGACATAATTATTTTGGCACACATTAATGTTGCAGATGCAGCCCCTCTTATATCAATACAACTGATCAGCCTGACCTCAAGATTACTTTCTAAAGGAGATAAATGTTTATGCTTAATAGTTTGGTAAACTAATGTGCATTCTCATATTTAGTTTGGCACAATCAGCCATTTTTGGCATGTAAGTCATGCCTTATATAAACCCAGTTTATACTAAGCAAAATCATAAGTAATTCCAGTTTATACTAAGCAAAATCATTAGATGTATGCCTAGGAGTTAATGCAAAAAAAGTTAACAGTTTAATACCTTCTGTATTTTGAAATAAGTTCACAAAGTATAGAGATTATAATATTACTTGTGAAGCAAAATCTGAAAAAAAGCAGCTACTGGCAGTGAGAATTTTGATGGAAGAATCGCGATGAAACCAGTAGCCATTTTTTTGAGAAATTATAGAAAATAAGGTGTTCATGTTTACAATTAAAAGTTTTATAACCTGACACAATAGAGAGTTTGAAGTATTGCAGATTATTATCATTGCAGGACTAACAATGGGGGAATGGGGAAGAAAGAGAAGCTAAAGTAAAATCATAAGCACAATTGTGATCACATGCTTTTCTATTTAGCAATCACCTCACTTAGTGACCAAGTTGCTGGTCCCAACAATGGTTTCTAAACAAGGTCTACCTGCAGTTTCTCCTGATTGTCAGGGAGTCATCTTGTGAATTGATTGTCCAACAGTTTTGAAAGCCAATTCAACCAAGACTGCCTGGCAGTTGATTGAGATCTGTGGTTGTCAGATGGTTTTCCCATCAGCTAATAAAGTTTAGAAAGTAGAGGAGAGCAAAGCCACATAGCTTGATCCCACACAGCTGAAATCAAGACATAATCCAGCAGCAAAGCAGAACAGAGGAAGGATAGGGAGCGGCAGTAAGGACAGGAAATGTTATGCTAGAATAACATTTTGCTGGTTCAAGGATGGCTGACTAATCTTGTAATTGAACTGCAGAAAAAAAGTTTAAAAATCGTGAAGGCTGTAATGTTTGGCACATATATTTTGCAGTAAGTGTTTGTGTTATTTATTTTTGAATAAGGATGCATGTGAATCTGAATGTCAAAATCTCCTCTCCGGATCCAGTCGTGAATTGAACAAGCCTTCACTGATGTGGTGCATCCATAACAGGAAGCAGCTGTCAAGATAAGACTATTAAGAAGGCTACATTTGTTGATTTGGATTACAAGCTTGTCTACTCCAGCATTCTCTTTGCACACTGATCAGTAATGTTCCCCTGGAAACCTCCAAAGCGAATGTCATTGGTAGAATGGGAAGGCGGTCAGTTTGCCCTTTCATATCCCCATGATGGGAATGAAGGTATTTCTTGTCTGTTATATGCACAATACCCAACATCTATGATGCATATCCATGTAATGTTTTGTTAGTCACACCTCTGCAACTTGTGCTGCATGTGTGTTTCTCTACCAGCTTCTAGTATTTTCAGCTCCCCATGTCAATAAGGGTAAATGTTGGCCCCTGGAGAAGCAAACCAGCACACTAGAATCATGTTTCTATGCTAAGTGAGATGCTGTTGCTATCTGAATCATAGTGCTGCCATAATTATATCATCTGATTTCAAATTTTCAGACCCAGGGGGTGCTGTCCTTTCTCTGGTTTTGCAATTCCCTGTTTCCCTCAGGAAGGATATCATTCCATGGTCTTTGGGCATAATTAATCCATGTCTTTTAGTATGGCAAGGTCAACATATAAGTGATAATCCATGTAAATCTTATATTCATTTGTTCATTTATTTCATAGTGGCCTTTTATGTTTTTAAGTCTTTCATTTTTCTATGAAAATAATAATACCTCCCTGGATTTAAATACTTTAGCTCAAAACTATCCCATGTTACTGAATATCAGATTATTTCTCATATCACAATAATGATATGGGAGAAAAATGCACTTTAAGATAGGGTTGTTGTTTTTAACAAAGCTTAATATGTGTTACATTTTTCTGATTGTTTTGTTTTGAGGTAACAGGTAGGAAGATTGGATACATGCAAGAGGGTAACACTAATTAATTATATATTGGAAGTGTATGAAGTACAACAACTTTATGCCCTTTCAGCGATTATTTCAGATAAACCCCAAAACTGACTTTCCCAGGATCCCATGGAAGTTCAGATTTAGGTGTGATTTAGAGCAGTGGCCCCCAACCTTTTTTGTGCCACGGCCCGGTACCGACATCACAAAATGATCCGTGGCTCGGTACCGGCATCAGCACGCATGACAAGGCAAGGCGAGCCGAGCGACCAGCCAGCCAGCCATCCCCCGCTTCTCCCCGCCACCTTCAACTCCTCCTTTGTACCTTTGTCGATGGGCTTCGCTTCGGGACGGCTTCGGGACGGTCGCTCGGCTCGCCTTGCCTTGGGTGCTGAAAGAATCCTCGCGCCTTAGTTTCGTTCGAAGCCCCCCCCCTTCGATGAAACTATGGCGCGAGGATTCCTTCAGGACCCAAACGCCGCTTTCCAACCGGAAAAGCTCACCCGGAAGCACTTTCTCATCAAACAAGATGGCGGCGCCCAGCAAATCGGCAGCCCGGTAGGAAATGTTCCACGGACCAGTACTGGTCCGCGGGCCGGTGGTTGGGGACCCCTGATTTAGAGAACATGTACCTTTTTAATTAACCACTTCTCTTGATTTGTGAAAATGAGACAGAGAGAGAGAGACATGTATTTTCCCAGGCATAAAGTTTGTGTCAAGGACATTTCAGAGCTAAAGAGATAATGAATAAAGAAGATACACCCCTCCCTTCATCAGATGGCTAACTTTGAGATTAAGGATTTAAGATAAATCAGGCTCTGCTGAAATATTTTGTACAAAACAAAAGCATAAGAAATAAATTGGTATTAATCCACAAGATACAGGTAATCAAAGAACAAAACATGAAATATGAAAAGGGATTATTTCCAAAGAGTCCCTGCTTTTCTTCTGTGATTTCTACTATAGTTCCTTAAAGAGGAGTGATTCCCATCAGAAGCTTTAGTTCTGGAAGTCAAATTGCTATTTATTGATAGTTCTCTCCAAAGATACCTTTTCCAAGTAAGCTTATAAACCTATACATTTTAAATCTTTATAACAGAAACATAACATTGAATAATATTATTTTTTTTTGTAATTTCTATTTTTTCTTGTTCTTGTGTTCTGTCTTGAATGTTGATGTTTTCTATATTTTAAATGACACCTTCAAGCATTATCAGCAGGAGTAGGATTTCTCCAATGTTTGCTTTGTAGGTCGGTGAGAAAATTTGTTTTTATTGGGATTTGGCGCATTGTACCGTGTATTGTATATTGTTTCGAGGATTTTGTTCTTGTTATGATTATTTTAATTGTTCTTTTTGGATGTCAGTAGTGATTTGTAATATTCCATTAGCCATCCAGAGCTGTGAGAACAATTGTATAAA